TTTATTTTAAACCCATCCATCCATCCACTGCCTCCAACACTACTCTTGTCAAGGTAGCAAGGGCCGCTAGCTTGTCCTCAGCTAGCCCGTGTCAGAGGCCCGTCACAGACCTCATTCTTCTTAAACCTTCACTGGCACGCATCTGACTCTACCCACTACCTTCTCTTTCTTTGAATTTTCTCCCCTTGGCTTGAACTAGGGTTTGTAGCCCACAACAGAGAAGGAGGTGATGGGGAAGGTTCCTTTTGTGTGTCTGCCTTTTGTGCTCAGGTTGTGCAATGTCATGGGTGAGTTGTGGGACCCTCACTTTGGAATCCTGCTTCCACAGTGTGCTCTGAGCTATGGCAGGATTTCACAAGCACATTCCATCACCACCAACAGCCCCAGCTGCCTAGGGCTTCCCCAAAAGAACCATTTACCTTGGTTCTGACCAACTTGAGAAAACATGGGTTTTTTATTTTATGACAAATAATCAGGGACTGGGGACATGAACCCAACTCAAAGAAATGGGGTGCAGTGATGTCTAGTTCTGTGTTGTCCAGTATGATGACCATTAATCATATGTAGCTATTTAAATTTAAATAGAATTAAATATTATTAGTTCCTTAGTCACACCAGCCACCTTGCAAGTGCTCAAAATTCACATGTGGCCAGCGGCTGCCATGTTGCACAGATGTAAATGTTTCCATCATTACAGAAAATTCTATAGGATAGCACTGATTTTAGACCACTGGATTGAAAAGAATAAAAGGTAGCAACTGGCTAAGAGAGAGAGACAGCCAAGTTCATCAGAGCCACCTGTGTTTCCCCAAAGTGGGATGCACATCCTTCAGGAAAGAAATGAGTCCTCACGTAGGAAACCCATGCTAGGGCTGGCACTGGGAAATGGGGAGCACTCCTGTTTCTTTCCAGAGATTGATCTCTTGAGTCTAGATAGAGGGCTGGAGAGTAGATATTTGGAATAGAGATCTGGGAATTAGATATTGAGGAAGAAGTCAGAAATATGATCTGGAGCAGGGGGAAAGAATTGGCTAAAAATATAAATTTGGGACTCAGTTGTAGTCACCAGAAGGTTCTTTTGTCATTGTCAATTCTGCATCTAAAAGTTTAGATGACTTATTAACTCTCCATTTATTTCTATACAATTCAGTGATGAGTATTGATTTAATTATCTGCTTGGAAATGAGACCTTAAAGAATGAACAAAATGGGGCACCTATTCAAAATAATGTTTATGCCCCGTGCTTGGGAGAGAGAACAAGTGAAGTAAAGGAAAAATCTGAGGCCTAGAAAATGTTCATTCTAACATGACTTACTTCTTAAGTTGTAAATTTCAGAGGGTAGCTTCAGGCACAGCTGGATCCAGGTAGTCAAAATTAAACTACCATAAATCTATGTCTTTCCATCTGTTGACTCTGTTTCCCTTTATGTTGGTAGCATCCTCAGGCTTTCTCCACATGGTGTTAAGGTGGGCTCACAGCAAGCACTTCCAGGCTTAACATTGCTGGTTCCCAGTAATTTCAATAAGAATTCCAGGACTGACCTTCATTGGCCTGACATGGGTTACTGCTCATCCTTGAACCAGTTAATAGGTCCCAGGAAATGCAATGCTCTGACTAGCTAGGCCTGATTATGTGCCATACCTGAGGCAGGGGATGGGGTCAGCTTCACTTAGACCACCAGGCCTCTGAGTAGGTGTGAAATAGTTCTGCCAAGTAACCCAAACTCTGTCACCCAAAGAAGGAATATGGATGCTAGGCTGGCCGAAACACAGCTGCCCACTACAGAATACACAGTCTTTAGTTAATGATAGCTGTTATTCTTGTGAAACAATAGCAGAAAGGTTAAGCCAAAATTTATTAAACACTTGGAAAGGTAAGGAAGGCTTTGTGGTACATAGGAAGGTCTCAATAAATGTTCATGGAAAGAAAAATTTACAAGGGAGTAAATAGGAACATACATTATAGTATAACTTGTTCTATGGGAGTGGGGAAGGGAAGGAGTCCAGTGGAATGAGGGTACAATTTTATTGAGCCTAGGAAATAAGCCAGGGACCGAAGGACAGGGATAGATGGCACATTTCTGAAAGGAGTTCCTTCGAGACAGGCCTAAGAGCTGGTTAATTAACAAGTACAGCTACTCTGGAGGGGGTGCATAAGGAACTCTGCAAGGTCTGCTGATGACAGGAAACTCCGCAGTAGTGATGGAAAAGACTCTTGAACTTGCAAGGTGGGGAAAGAAGTGGTAGTTAACAAGAAGGCAAGAAGGTGACTTTGGGATCAAATTCTGAATGTTGCCCATGAAACTGAGAAAGTTAAGCTATTGCTTATGACCAAGAAGAGGACCTGGAATTTAGGGCTAGACTGTTTCTTCAGGCCATCCAGGTAATCCAGGATAATCCCTCCACCTTAAACCCCTTAAATTAATCACATCTGCAAAGTCCCTAAACCACATAAGTAACCTATTCACAAAATCTGGGGATTGGGATATGGACGTCTTTGCGAGACCATTATTCAGTCTTCCACAGCACTCCTGGCTACACAGTAGGACATGGGCTATCCTTAGAAAGCAGATTGGGCAATTTTGAAAATCAACTTGCTGATAGTATTCTATTAAGTCTGGTGGGGAGGAGAGCAGAGTGGGCACCTGATGGCTGACTGAAGATGCCCCTAGGAGAATCCTTCCACATGGGAGAACCCCTGTAAAGGGAACCTTTGGCAACAAGGGATGATACTGGCTCTGCCATCCAGGAGCTCTGAGACCCCAGAGCAAGCATATTACTTCCTTAAGCCCCAAATTCCACCTAAGTCAGTGGAGATAAATAAAACTACCTGGAAGGGCTAGAGTGAGGATTAATGAAAATATCATTCATGAAATCTCCTAAGACAGTGCCTGCTCCTCAGTGTCTATTTTGGAATGTCTCCTGAATTCATTGTTCCCTCTTTCTCTGTCCCTTTTGCTGTGGCCACTGCCACCATGCAGACCTCTCAGAAACTTTCACTGCCTGCCAGTCATGCCACATGCCTCAACCTGGCAGCAGTTAGAAGGAACAGCTTTGAAACCTTGCACACAAGCCCCTAATAACCATCATATCTGGAGCAACTCTCTTAAGCTCTCTAAGCCTCAATTTCCTTCTCTGTACAGTGAGGATAAAACCATCTACCTAACCAGATTGTCCTGAGGATTAAGTGAGATGATGAATGGAAAGGTGTGGATAAAATGAGAGTTCCTGCGGCCAGGATTCTCACCTGGCCGTGTTGACTAGCTCACTGCACACCTGTGGGCAATACATGGTGTTGACTCTATAAAAAGAGTTGTGCCCAGTGCTCTGGGCACTACACGGTGGCAGGGCTGCAAAGCTGCGGGAGAGCAGAGCAGAGGCTGGAGTGGTGGCAGTGCCGAGAACAGAAGCCCAGAGGCCGGCTGTGCAGGACTACTGTGCAGAGAGGCCCAGGACAGCTGTGTGGACAGAGAGGCCCAGAGGCAGACACAGGCTTTCTGCCTGCAGACTCGCTCTGACTGAATGGGATTTTAGTGACTGACCTGCCACCTGGAAATAAACTTGGGTATAACCCTTCCACCCCCAAGAACGTTTTGCTGTCAATTTCTTTGGTCACACTGAATCCATAGCGAACTTGCCCGAGGCTGAAACCCATTGGCAAGACAAAAGGGTTTAGCACAGTGTCAGGCCCAAAAAGTGGTGTTATTCTTCTTCAGAGGCCTGACCTTCTCTCAGCAACACTGGACAACTCACTTCTCCATGAAGCAGGCCTTGAGGAGAACTGTTTATAAACACTTCTCTCCATATAAATATCTCTTTCCACTTCCCATACTCTCAGTGTGTCCTGTGCTACTCTGCTTCCCAGGAGCCTTTACTAGCCTTCTCAGTTACGGCTATTGATGTTTCTGCCTCAATACTGGGCACGAGTTCCCTGAGGAAAGGTACTTTCTGAGGAAAGGTGCTTTCTGCGTACGTAGTAGGTTGGAAAAGTACTCCCCTTCCTTGTCAGGCTTCAGCTTCCTTATTTGGAATGAGTTCACTGGCTTGGAATGGATGAAAGGGCCCTCCTAGCTCTGAGTTTTTACAGTTGACAAAACTTAAGCAGCGGGGACCTTATGTAGAGCCCCTAAAAACCCCTCTCCTTTCTCAGAATGGCAAACTGAGGGCCCAGTAGGGCCTTCACTCAATGCTACTCTCTCCCTGGCCTTCGGATCAAGGTTTCCCAGGAGGAATACAGCCCTGTTCTTCTAACGAAGCGAGAGGAGACTCTCGGGCGTCTCCAGGGCTTGGGGCGCCGGAAACACGTGTGTGCTCACCTACGTGTACACACGTGAGCACACCTACAGCAGCAGGAGGCACTCAGGCCGGCAGGGGGCAGCACAGACCCGGTTTGCAATAACCCGGCGCAGCCCCGAGGGAGGAGGGCGTGCTGCAGTCCCGGCGGTGGTGGTGGTGGTGGTGGCGGCGGCTGGAGGTGCAGCCTCCCAGGTGGGAGGCGGGGGCTGCGGGCGCAGGAAAAGGCGCCTTGGGAGCTGGCGCTCGGCGGGGCCTCCTCCGGCCGCCGGCGCGGCGCGGCGAGTGGGAGCGAGCGCGCCTAGAGCACGCAGGCGCCCTGCTCCGGCTGGCCCTCGGCCGGCGCGCGGCGCGGGAGCAGCCCGCAACCCGCAGCCCGCGCCCCGCGCAGTCCCCGGGCCGCCCGCGGCCGGCCGTCGGCAGCAGCGGCTCCGCGGCAAGCGCAGGCCGCCGGCCCGGGAGGGCGCTCGCGGCGGCGGCGGCAGCGGGACGGCCCTGGGGCCGCCCCGAGCGCGCCCTCCCGCCTGCGGCCACTCGCAGCCGGCGCTGGCTGGGCCGGCGCGCCCCGCAGGCAGCCAGAGCGCGGCCTCGGCCTCGGCGGGAACGAGCCCCGGGCCGCAGCTCGCTGGAGGCGGCGGCAGCCGCGGGAACTGACGGCGTCGCGGGGCGCTCCTGGGCGGCGGCGCAGCGGCAGCCGCGCAGGGGGCGGAGGCAGGGGGCGCCCCCAGCCAGGATGCTGCGGTTCCTGCGCCGGACCTTTGGCCGCCGCTCCATGCAGCGCTACGCGCGGGGCGCGGCAGGGCGCGGGGCCGCCGGGCTGGGGGACGAGCGCGACGGGGGGCCGCGGGGGGGCCCGGCCGCCGCCTCGACGCTGCCCGCCGCGCCCGGGGGCAGCGTGTTCCCCCCCGGTGGCGGGCCCCTGCTGACAGGCGGCGCGGCCGTGCACATCTCTGCCGCCGGCTCAGCCAAGGCCACACTCTACTGCCGCGTCTTCCTGCTCGACGGGACCGAAGTGAGCGTGGACTTGCCGGTGAGTGACGGCCGGGTTCGGGGCACTGGCACCCCGCGCCCCCGGGGCAGCTCCCCTCTGCCACTGCTTCCCTTTGGGGCTCTGCCCCTTCCCCCGCGAGCACTCCCTAGCCCGCGTTCCGTCTCGGGCCACCCTGCCCCTGCCTCTCCCGGGGCCCCATCCCTGGCTCGCCCCCTCCTTGGCACAGGGCTCTGAGTCGCGCCTTCTCTGGCTGCCACCTCGTCCTTTGGGCCTCACTCTCTCCCTGGCGCACCAAGTCCCCTTGTCCCTAGTCCCCGCCCCCTGGTGCCGGTGGCCGGTGTTCCCCGTACGCCCCCAGGTTCCGGCGGAGGCCTTCTCGGTTAGACAATCTCAGCTCATTGCAGTGCGGGGTGGCCCGCTTGCCGCCCCCCAGAGCTCGCCACCAGGCCTTGGTAAAACGGCAGGGAGGAGCTGCCCGGCAGGTGCCCCAAGTTTAGCAGGGAGGCAGGGGACCATTTCTCCTCCTCCCAGATTCCCCTCTCGGCGCCTCCGCCCCCACCCCCATGCCCAAAAGCCCCTCCGGCCACAGCTTCGCAGGGGGTTGGCCGACTTGGGAGCCAACTCCAGAACGACTGTCTCGGACCTGGCCAACTTGGCGCCGGCAGAGCCCTTGCTGGGGCGCTCGGAGTCGGCCCCGGGGCCTGGCACGCGGGACGTTCCTCCCGGCAACCTGCGTGGTGCTGCCGAGGCACCCCAGGGCGGCGGCACCGGGGTTTAAGTCCCGGGCCACCAGGCCACAGGTGGTTGCACCCCGCCCCCTTCCAGCAGAGCTAGGCCTGCGCTGCTGTCCCCGCCAGGACGTCCAGCAATCAAGGAGCCTTTCTAGCCGAAGGGCCAGATCTGATCAAGTCAAATCTGCACATTAATGGGGCGCCTACCGCGCACCGGGCGCTGCGGCAGACAGCGCCTTTGGGAATCTTTGGGTGTGACGGAGGGGACAGCAATGATTGGGGCTTTAGATGAATGTTACAGATCATCCCGAGGGTTTCAAGGCAAAAAAATAACATGCCCGGACTTCCAAAGAAAGCATTAGGCCTTCCTGGAAGAGGGAATTTAATTTTCTGGACTTCCTGAACATGTAAGGGTTTTAGACAGATGGGAAAACCAAAGCTTGCCTGACCTGGAGTTTGATACAGCTTCCCTGAACAGGCTTCATTTTGAGACATTTTCAGTTTATGGCAATTTTATTTTTTGTGGCTTCTCGTGTTCTCTATAGGATATAGACTTATGATAATACTGTTCTGGGGCCTTTTTATTCATGGAAAAGGAGCTGTATTCTGGTGCTTAAACCGTTGTTTTAAAATTGCATTAAAATGTAACTGTTTCCCAAGATTGAGGCTGTCCAGCTTTTATGCAGCGGGGAGGGGAGGCCTAAAGAGCCAGGAGGAGTGGACAGGTAGGCAGCTTGTGTGTGGAGAGGAGTGGCGCATTTTGTATCTCAGATCTGGGAAAGCAGTGCTCTCCGTGGGAACTTTGACAGTGCTCCTTGCTGATGGCTTTCTTGTCTGTTCCCCAGGGATGATTGGTTTATAAAATGTATTGCTTCTGTCGGGTTTGTGCGACAGGTGTAAGTTGGTGTTTGTGGAGTGAAAAATGCAAACTGAATAAAGGGCATGCATGGTAAATAGATCCTAACAGGTATGCAAGTGAACAGGTGGGGGCAGGAATGCTGATTTATTAAAGCTGATGGCGCAAAGGGGAGAAGGATATTTGGATCTTAAAAGGTTTCTTCACCTCGTAAAAATCTCCTTGATGAAAGAATTTACCACGTTTTCTTTTAATGGCAGATTTCTTGGTGCTTAAGATGTGATTTCATGAACCCCTCATTTTATTTATACACACACGAATACACCCTGTCCAAAGGCAAATAAAAAGCAAATGCTGGTTTTTCTCATGTGAACCCTCAGGGAAGAAAGATGAAGAAAAATCACCTGTGAGCACAGCTCATCGATTTGAAGATTTACTAGATATTAGAACTGCATCACACAGTCTCTTGCACTAGTCTTTCCAGATTGGAGTTTTAGTTTCTGTAATTAAATCTTGGAGTTCGGAGGTTATCACCAGACAACCAGCTCCCGATGAATTAGTAGTATGCCCGCTCAGCGCCGTTTCACCGGGCTCACTCTTTATGCTGTCTTCTTTGGCATTTAGCCCCACATGTCAGTATTCTCTTCTGTATTCCTGGATTTCTACTGCTGCCTGGGCTCTGGTGTTGCACAGATAGGATTCACCTTTGGCCGCCATACACCTAAGCTGGGTTTTCTCTCCTGTCACTTCCACAGGCACCAGGGCACTTGCCAGGCAGACTATGGCTCCTTTGTAATTAAAACACTCTGGTGGTGGTAACTTTGAGAATTCCTTTGCTCAGCATACTCAAAGTGGTTATGCAGTGCCATAAACCATTTTATTAGCCCTAGGCAGGACACTTGTGTTCTTCAGTGGCCTCAAACACACCACCACCCGCAGTGTGACTATGCCAGGGCACGTCAGTCTTCAGTCAATATTTACTGGGTGTCTCCAATGTGCCCAGCATTGTGCCGTGGGCACAAAGGTGAAAGAGGTGGTCTGAAGCCATTGGGAAACATAGGTAGAAACTCATCTTTTTATTCCAAGTGATGCTAAGTAATATGACAGGCTCGCCCAGATGTGGTGCTGGGGAATGGATGAATTATCCTGGAGACTTTGACGCTTGAGATCATAGGATCCTAAATCCAGAGTCCCTTGTGCATTTTTAGAATACCTGCTGTGTCAAGTCCGCTTCTTGACTGTGCCTTGGCCCAGTTGTTATATGTAATGCAGGAAGAAGCAACTGCAATTGTCTTCTACAGGCTCTCTGACAGGGTCTGGAGCCCCCTTGTCTGATGGTGGGCTGCGTCCCCTAGCACACCTGTGTGTTCTCCTTTGCTGTGGACAGTCAATAGTTTCTCAGTCTTTGAGAAAATGTGACTAGAGGATCCTTTTAAAAACCCATCTATAGCCTGCAGTCTAAAATGGACCTGCTGTGCAAGCCCCGTTTCCAGGGGAGCCCTTAGCTCACCCTAGAAATGAGTGCCTCCCTGAGCCACTCCTCTTCAGGAAGCCTGGCCCTGCCGTGGAAGATGCCTCCCTCGGGTTAGCCCTAACCTGCCTTCAGGTGTGGCCTGGTCAGAGCTGGGCAAGACTCCCTCTGCCTACCTGGGCACTTCCGTTCTGTTAATGCCTCTGAAGATCCCATTAGTGTGCTTGGCAGTGGGGTCCCCGTGGACTCCTATCAGCTCTCTGTTGACCAAATCCCAGGCATTGCTTTTGCTTGTGTGGCTGTTGCTCAGCCCCATCTCCCTCCTTCCCCGTGCACACAGCCTTTCAGCAGAACCCCTTAGGATGTGGCTAGCTGGTTAGCACTCCCACCAGGCCTTGGAGGGCACAGCTTCTTGGCCGGTATGGCTGTGGTACAGTTGTCGCGGTATGTGGACCTCAACGTTGACTCACTAGAGTGGTGTCCAAGCATGGGTGCTCCAGACTTAGAACACCCACATTCGGATGTTACAGTTGGCTGCGTAGCCCTGGGCAACTTCCGCTCTCTGAGCATCAATTTTCCAGTCTTTAAAATGGGGATGTTGGGAAGGTTACATGACAGGAAGTATATAAGAATCCTCAGGAAACAGCAGGATGCTGGAGGGTTATTACTAGTGGGTTATAATCTTACACACTTCTCACTCCTTATCTTTGGCCTATGGAAAGAGTTTGGAAAAATTTCTAGTAATGGACTAAAAAAAAAAAAGCTGTGGCAGGAAGGTGATGACACTTTGCCTGGTTGGTGGGAATTGGAAGTTGGATATGGTATGAGAGATGCTTTATTAAAGTTTCACTTTGGATAATAAAAGAATCCCCCCCGACCCACCCTTCTCCCAATAAAGAGAAAAATGCAGGTTCTTAGAATTTTAGGCCTGGAACCTCTGATGGCAACAGAATGTACATGATACAGCATAAAGATCATATACCTTATTTTGGAGGTAAAAGGGACCCTAGACAGCACATACACCCCTATAGTGTATATGGGACACTTAGGCCTGTGGATATAATGTGACTTCCCTTTAGTCACTCAGTGGGGGGTTGGAATAGACTTTTTTGGGAACCCTGATTGTCTAGCCTTTGGAGGTGAGTGTAGGATCAGCAGCAGGCAGATCAGCCCCTGATCCTAACACAGTATCATAGTAGGGAGGCAGGATGTGTTCCTGGCCATTTAAAGTAGGACACATTTTCCAGACAATCGGAAATTCTAGCAAAATGGTTCTCTGATGTCAGTGTACTTAAAGTTCATCTGGGATTTTCTTTTCTCTGGTTAAAATTCCCAGAGCCCATTCCCAGAATTTCTGATTGAGTAGTTCAGGAAGCTGGATTTTTAACAACCAGTAATTCTGTTGAAGGTTGTACCTTCACATCCTTTGAAAACCACTGGCTCTAGACCTAAGAACAGAGGGCAGCCACACTGGGCAGTAAAACCACTGTAGGCAGTGGCGCAGGGGCTGGGGTACTGGCCACCTTTGAGTATCACACCTGAGCTTCAGATTGCCATATTGGCCACAGTGGGGTGGAGGCTGGGCCAGTTATGCTATTGCAGTAGTCCATGTGACAGGGTGATGAGGGCCTGGCTTGGAGAAGGGGTCAGAGTGCCAGAGCCAGTGGCAGGTGGGGTCAGTTGCGTGTAGGAGGGAGAGGAAGGTGGAGGCGTGGTGGACTCCAGCTTGGAGGGCAGGAATATCTTAACCCTCACTTAATGGGGAGAAATGGGAATCACATGAGACACCCCAGGAAACAGGAGAAGGCAGCTTCTCATTTCTGCCCTCCTGCAGAGGCTGGGGGACATGGACCCCCTGCCTGATCCTAGGCTTCTGGGTGCTTGCTTTTTCCTGCCGGAGGGAAAGATAATGGCTGAAGATGGCCCTCCAGTGCTTACCCCATCCCCTTCCCAGACTGGGAATGAGATCCCAGGGAGCACT